GGCTCATCGATGGCGTCTATCACCGGATCGACCATCAAGATCGCGGCCGGACCTCGCTTTGCGAAGCAGAGCAAGGTATATCGATATCAGATCTGTTGTTGTTTTAATTGTTTTGAGTCTAGATCTAGGGTTTTATTGTGGCTGTGTGATCTGGATTCTGTATGATGCTGATTTGTTGATCTCTGTAATTTTTTTAATTAGATCTGATCTGATTACGCTTGGAAATTTAGTAAATTTGTATTTTTTTCGGATAATAATGATCTAGGATCTGCATGATTTTAAATGCATCGAAGTTATTTAAAGCTGGAGAAGAGAATGGAATCTTTTTTTTTATAGATCTGAGGGTAAATAGTCTAATTATCAAAGTTAGATCTTTTGACGATAGATTCGCTGTAGGATTCCAATTATGACAACATTGATAACTTATTTATTTATTTCTGTACAATCATATTTGTGTTTTCGACTTAGATCTTTTTCAGACCAGTATAAAGATTATGGTAGCCTTTTTCTTATTTTTGCTAGTTTGCATGTTTCAAGATTTAAGAAAGAAATGAATATTATTTTTAAAGCAACTGCGCCTATGATGTTGTAGTTTGCATGTTTCAAGATTTAAGAAAGAAATGAATATTATTTTTAAAGCAACTGCGCCTATGATGTTGTAGTTGTAGGTAGGAAAAGGAATAGAAAGAAATGAATATTATTTTTAAAGCAACTGCGCCTATGATGTTGTAGTTGTAGGTAGGAAAAGGAATAAGATTCTTATTTTACAACCTCAAGGAATACATTTGATAATCTTATTTGTGTCAAGGAAATTTGAGTGGTCTTTTCATTCATTTCACAAAAGAGATGTTGGTTTTGTCTGTATTTTTGTGAATACTCTTTTATTGGGATTATGATTGGCCATGAATGATATGAGATAATTCTGTAGGAAAGTCGAGGAAATATCTCTTGCTGTGAAAATCAGATGTTGAATAAGCTGTATGGAATTTGGTCCACGTGTTCACTATGATACAGGCTTTTAGATCATAATTTGCATGCAATAAGATATGGAGTGAGTCTACTTGGTTTAACTAAGCAGAGCACTTGATAATTTTGTAGGTAGTTAGTGGTTTCTCTGGCCAGAAGTTGGTTTCTTTCTCTGGTCGTCAAAGCTTTCCATCAGTGCGGTTGCAGCGCCTCCAGATTTGTTGTGCTGTATGGTTCTCTCTCCCGCATCTCTTGTTGGTTATTATTTCACGTAGCTATTACATTTTATCGTTAGAATTGGTGTTTTTATAAAGAACTTGAGCTGGAATTGCTTACTTGGATTGCCTTCATATATTTTACTCTTTCAAAATATAGTATTTGATAATTAAATTTACCATCAAAGAAAGGATAGCATCAGTTTCTCAAGTATTGTGAAAGGGTTAATTCTTTCTCATTTATCTGAAGGGCATTCCCTGTATAAGTTAGCATATATATGTCTTTTAGTGTGGATTCATATATTCTTGATCTGTCTCTGGTCGTTGCAACTCCTTTAACTATGTCTATGGCACCGTTAAGAGCATTTGGTCCTGGTTCTAACTTCTACAATATAGTCATTCTTTCATTTCAGCGTTCTTGTTTGAGTTTTTCTTTGGCATGTTTCTTCATTACCCAGTATTCTAACCCTGAAAACATGATTTAATACTATAGCTATCTTACAATTTTTCTCATCATATTTCTGGAAATTCTGTCAGTCTAATATCCTAACCCCCACCCCCACCCCCCACGGCAAAATGAAGCAGAACTTCATTTTGAATGCATGAACATTCGATACTGTTGGGAGCTAAAGTAACTGCAATAGTTATTAGCCAACACTCCATCCACACCAACTTAACCCAGACCATTACTCTTGATTAAAATGTTAAAATTAGTTCACATGGCAGGCATTACCATTCACCTTCTAACTATAGATAAAGTGAATTTGTTTGTTCCTTTTTGACAAAACACTTTATTTAATTATTTAATTGCTTTCGCTAATTGTAGTATTTATATGCAATCTTATGCTTTTAATTTATATGTACGCAAAAAAAAGCTGCATAAAACATAAATGTTTCTATGTCTAGATTTTGTGAGTTCCTGCTTTTAACACCCTGCAACTTTGATGTCTGATGCTTGTGTCCAAGGGTATGAAGTATAGCTTTGCAAACTAATCCTTAGTTGTCTCTTTATCATTACTAGTTGAGATGCACGTGCAATGCACGTGGTTAAATATCATGAGTTGAGATGCACGTGATCATGATTATTTAAATTGATAAAAATAAAGTAAAAATAAAAAAAAGAAAATAAAGTTTTTTGTGGGATTGATCATCAGCTCAATAATCTCTCTCAAATAAAATATTGTCATTGTTTCCTTTAACCCAGACTGTGGTTACGTAATCTACTATTTCTAAGTTATAAACACATTAATTTAGTACAATATCTCTATTTATTAATATCTTGAAGTGTTCAAAAGATGGGTGATCATTCAATTCGCAAAATTTTTTTGCATATGTATTTACTTGTAATATGTTCATTAAACTTTTAGTTGTGATTTGGCTCATATTTATGTTAACTTTTAGTTGATGTTTTGCTCATATTTATAATATTTAATATTCTTATTCAATTTTATAGCTCATTCTCTGTATCATAGAAGTAAAACTGAAAGTATGAAGAATATATTTTCTTACGAAATTAGAACAGAGAGATTATGATATATTTCGCCATGTGCTCTAAATATAATTATTTTTTCTTTGATGCAAGGTCTCTATCAAATATTACCCAAAACGATGTGAACAAAAAATGCTATTATAACTCACTTGTCTAGGACAATTGTATTATATATAGGATACATAACTCATCTAGAATATCCATATCTTCTAAGTGGATTTTGTTGTTGTGAGAGCAGCATGTTAGATGCTCGTATTCAAACTTTTTGGCTCTATAAAAGACAAGATTTTAGAGTGTATAGCTTATATATCGTAAAATGCATATCGATTCATGAATTTTTTTTCTAATAATGATATTATTACAATGATATTACTATTCAATATTAAATTAATTTTATTATATAAGATTATATGACCATTTTTAATAAATTATAAAGTATATATATGGAAACCTCGATGCTTATAGCCAGTAGTTGGGCTCCACAAAATAGGTTAACATTGTAGTTTGCTATTTGTAGTACTGTTTGCAATGTCATTACCTTTCCTCTTTATCTTATTATTCACACTTTTCTGATGTAAGTTCTCTTTTGCTAAACATTCAATTGACTATATTTAATTTTTATAATATCAGAGGTTAGAATGTTCTCTTCTATTTAAAAAGTGTTCACATGATTTTCTTAAAAAATATATACACACAGTAACAATAGTATATACTTCAGTGAAACTCAAACATTAGCTTGAAGCCATTTAGAGTGAGGTCCTTTCTATGCTAGAATGGTGGTATAGTGATTAAACAGTCTAAAAGTCAAAGAAAAAATTTCTACAAAGAAAAAATAATTTAATATGTCAAATTAAGAACTAATTTATAAAATTTACATAGGCAGTGCAGATAGCTATAGAAAGTAAGGTATATATTTTCATAAAAATTTTATAGTGAGTGACCAACTACAATCATCCTAATTTAAGCATAAATAATTAGTGAGTGACCAACTACAATCATCCTAATTTAAGCATAAATAATTATTATTTTAGTTACTAATTTGATATGGTAACTATGGAATAAAACACATCCTAATTTAAGCATAAATAATTATTATTTTAGTTACTAATTTGATATGGTAACTATGGAATAAAACAAGAATAGTGATGTGCATATTTAACTATGGTCTAATAATCTTAAGAACGACTTATTTTTAAATATCATCATTAGTTGATGTGTATGTGCATTACACTGAAAACACAATGAAAATTTAGAAAACTACGAAATAGACACCCTCAAAAGTTTTAAAAAGTGTAAAAAAACTCTAAATTTTATAATTTACAAATATACAAAACTATTAAATATTACATTGAAATCAAGAAATTATAAAAAAATCATTGAAAAATTTCAAACTTTGGAGGAGTAATTTGCAATGTACTAAACTTTAAGGGTATTTTTTATAAATTTTTGATTTAATAGATTTTTAATTAGTTATGTTCTTTTTAAAAAAGTTATGGGTAATATTTACTATGAAATTTTTTTCCCTAAACCTATACTTTTAAAATGTGTATGATGTATGATGTTTTTTTACAAAATTTTAATTTTCTAGGGGTTGTTAGTAGTTTGGCATATTCATTTTAGTGTCTATAGGTTAGAAATTCTCATGCAGTTTTTTTTTTGTAAATTATGAATTTTAAGGACTTTTCGTAATTTTTTTAACTTATAGATCTTTTTTACATATTGTAAATTGTTTATAGACTATTAATACTTCCTATGCTTTCAATTTACTAATAAATTTAAAATTTTCAGGGTTTCTTTTTGTAAATTTTGAATTTTAAATGTTTGTTTCTAATTTTTAAAACTTTAAGGGTGTTTTCTATAAATGTAAATTTTGAATTTTAAATGTTTGTTTCTAATTTTTAAAACTTTAAGGGTGTTTTCTATAAATTATAAATTATGTAGGGAATATTTATAATTTTAAGGGTGTTTTCTATAAATTATAAATTATGTAGGGAATATTTATAATTTCTATATTTTTAATGTACTATTAGGTTAGAAATTATCAGGATTTATATAAATTTTATAATTTTGAGGGTTTAATTTTGTAATTTGAAAAAAAATTTAGAGTCTGTATTGCAAATTCCATAAATTTTTGGGAGTTGTTTGTGTTATTTGTAGATTTTTAGTATGTTTATAAGTTTGACATTTTTAGGGTGTGTTTTGTAAATTTTAAAATTTTAGGGGTGTTTTTGTAGTTTTTAAAACTTATAAGATATTTTTTCCAAAGTCAAACTTTCAGTTTCTAGTTAGCATATATTTTTTAGATTTCTCACTAAATTGAGATAAGTAAATTTATAATTTTTAAGATACTTTAATAAAATTTTGAATTTGTAGGTGTGTTTTTGTAATTTAAAAAACTTGGATAATATTTTTTTACAAAGTTCATAAACTTTTAGGTGTTAGCTAGCATTACTTTTTAGATTTCTCTACAAATTAAAATAAGTAAAAGATTTGAATTATATGAAACATATCTATTTTATCCAATAACATGTTAAGTCTCATTATGATAAGAATAAATCATTTTGTTACAAATTCAAAGAAGATAGATAATTAGAATAGATTAGCATAACATTGTAATATTCAAAACAACCTAAGGGTAATATTGATCATAGAAAGATTTTCCCGAACTCGTACTTTTAAAAGGAGTATGAAGTATGATATGAGTCTGGAGATGTTAATCGTTCAATATAGCTTTTAGTTTAAGCTGTAAACATAAGCTGTATCTGAGTTTAACAGCAATATTGGTAATTTCCCGAGTGACATTTTCTGTATATCTGTCTTGTTTGATACATTTCTGGAGTTGCATGAGGTATTGGATGATCACATTTTCGATCAGTTACAAAGTTGCTTTGGTGAACAGGCAAAACCAGAGACAGTTGACAAGGTTTGTCAAATAGTGAAGAAGCAGCTTGCACTTACCGATGATACCTCCGTCACAGGGGACTCAAAATTTACTGATCTCGGTGCTGACTCGCTTGACACGGTACTTTTTCCTTCCTTTCTCATGCTAATTAGTTGTATGAAAAGTAACTTTACTCATCTGAAGCAATTGGAGTATTTCTCTTCCTGTACAATATCTGTGATACCAAATAGGAAATAATGGATACCTTGCTACCTTGCTGCTCACATCAAAAGTGTGGACCTCGCTACTCTTATCTTTTGGTAGCTTATTTAGCAACATTAGCCTACGCCTCGGACCCATCATTCCCTACCAAATATTTACTTTATCCTAAAAAGTTATTCTTGTACTTGGGTGAATAGCGAAAGAGAAGTGCTTGTAATATACATTCTTGATATCACATTGGCCCTCCACTTTTTCGTTCTAGTGCTAATAATCCTACCAAAGTTCTACGAAAAGTTCAGTACAGGTAGCACTGTTCTTAACATTATGTTGTTTTGAGTAACATATTTTTGTTTTGCTTTGGAAGAGTCTCGTTTCAGAGCCATATACTTTGTTATAAGCTCTGATATACGTATAGTATATATGAATTACTTGATTTTCTTTTGTAGGTTGAGATCGTGATGGGTCTTGAGGAGGCCTTCGGCATCAGTGTTGAGGAGGACAGTGCTCAGAGCATTGCGACCGTGCAGGATGCTGCTGATCTGATTGAGGAGCTTGTTGCGAAGTCATAAATTAGTGAACTTGTCAGTTAGAAATGGAGGGGTCTCGTCTTTGTTTTCCATTTATATCTTAGTTTATCGTAGCTTATCATCATTGTTACTGGGAAACTTTTGCAGCGACTTCTGAGTTATCTAGTGTGTCGTGGTGCCAAACTGTTGTAACTTCTTTCATCCGTGCTATTTGAATTTTGAGTTATTATCAATAAGATAATACCTACCCTGTTGGAACTATTTCAATATTAATTTCTGGTTTAGTGATACATAAATTAGGGTCCCTCTCACCCACGGGTGTGATTTACTTGGTTTTAAGCTGTGG